ACCCAAGTCATATTTTTGTCTCAAACAATCTCTATTTATTTAGTTGAGCCTTTATTCATTCAAGGGAATATCCTACAGATATGAAACATCAATTTAAATAATTATTGATGTAATCATAAGATCAAAATAAAAGATCTAATAATCAAACATCAAAAATTCTACTTTCACCTATTAGTCTTCGGAAGTCTAAAGTTGGAGAATAGACAGTTGGAGTTCTAAATTTTTTTTGGTGATTTGCAAGTTGGATGATGAGGGTTTATTAAGATTTAGTTGTGTCTAGACCAATAGTTAGCTTTTCTAGTAGATTTTTTTGGCAAGATTTGCCCAGAGATTTTTGATTCTTGTGAAAAAAATTTCAAGGTTTCCTTCGGTACCAATTTTTGGCGTTCTTTACTTTTTTACTAGTTTGATCTATACGTTAACGATTGTTTAATTAGGTTTTAATATTGAGTAAACTTCATAATCATCTAGAGACAAAAATTAGTGACGTGTTGCTTGTTATTGTTTTTATTTCGTATAATTGGGTCTAAATGACACGATATATATTTCTAATAGCTACATTATGCAATGGTACTCAAGGTTCTTCAGTAAAATTTCACCCCCTAAAAAATAAAAAAAAATACAAAAAAAATCTATGTTGTCAATTTCATTGTCAAATTAATAACTAAATATGTAATACAAATGTATTACCTATTTTGAACTTTTGATCATCCTTATAGGGTTAAACCAGCACTCATTCTCCTTTCTAGTGGATGATCCCTCAGTCTTATTGTCACTTGGTAAGCTTCTAACCTCAACTGAGTTATCATAATCTGTTCCAACTTTTTCTTGAAGAAATATCTCACCCTCCTACTCATCCCTTACATTATCAAAACCAATATCAAAATCTTTACTTAACCTGAAATCTATACTTTCATCATTATCATCCATGGATATAATTTCTTTCTGCTCGTACTCTGAGTCACTGAAATCTTCCAAAATACCCTCTCATATTTATCATCTCAAGCAAGATCGGCGGTATCAACTTGCACATCATCCACATGGACTTCTTGCTCAACATGATGTTCTGTTTCAGCAGGTTCTACATTAGTCTACACATGAGTAGTGATGTCAACCCGAACATAAGGTTTTAATACACATTCATCAATATGTAGGTATGCAAAGAAGTTAGCCTCAATATGAGGTTCTGTTTCATCCTCAACAGTATGTATATCTATAATAAAAGTCAGCCTCAAACTACACTTGTGGTTTACCAGCCTAAGTTCCATCAACGATGTGATCATGCCATCTAACTATGCTTCAAGAACATGAGGTTCAAGATCAACTTCAACATCACTGGGTTCATGAATCTTAGATTGCGCTTCAAATTCATGAATCGAAGACCGTAACTCAAGTGAATATGCTTTACAACAACCACCAAGATCCATTCCAACCACTGGTTTAAACCCAGTTAAATCAACTTATGTTTCTCCAACCTTTGCATCAGTTTAACCAACACAATTTCCATCCATGTACTTTAGCCTCTGAATCTCTATTTTGAACTTTTGTTTCACCACCAACAGTAAATTCAACCCTAAATTACTAACATTAGTTTCCTCCCCATGTACTTCAACCTTGAACAATGCAGCCTGAACTTCTACTTCACCCCTATTACTAACCTCCACCTCATTCCCCCATCATCTTGTACATCATATCCTCCAAAGATAACATTCTCTTCCTCTACTTCCATGTCATCTACTTTATCAACTATTTACAAGTTATCACTTCTAATGATTCATCATATATCTCAATAGCGTAACATGCATGATACTCATCCACTGGTTCATCATGCCCTCCAAACTTTTGAGCATTGACCGACTCCGCACTAGTCTCACAATCAATCATAGAAACATCCTTCTGTTCTATTTCATACTATGGCAACTCCAAAACCTTAACTATGGGCAAGCAATACAAATTAGTCATCCTATTTTCATTAAGCAACTTCACTACATTCATGAAATTGGAATCAATTGTCAAAATCAATCTCTTCTTCTCTACCTTATAAACATATCTCATTATATCAAAATATCCCAACATCTTGAAGGCATTGTTTAGAAGAAATCTATTAAAGAAATCGGGTTAGATATAGTCTAGATAACTTATTTTATCATGCTTGTACACAAAGTTTCTTACCTTTGCAAATAAAATTCTAACATGATGTAGACGTATATTGAAATACTTTGCATTTTCCCTTAAACAAAAAAATGGAGAAAAAACAACATCAAGCCCTAACCCTTTTTCATTTCCTGCAACGCAGATGTACTAAACAAGTGATTACACAGTTTATTAAGCTCAAAAGTCATCAAAACACTCAGCACTTTTAAAGTTTATAGTAGAGAAACACAATTTATGCACTGCTTATAAACACAATATTTCGCATCATAAATGGAAAAAAAATTAAATACAACACTTTACCATAAACAGGTTAGAAAAGAGAGCCTCGAATATGGGCTACAATATCTGATGGATGATCATTTTCTTCATGGGTTTCTTTAGGGTCCATAATAGAAGATAATGTACATTGATCACATTAATGTAAGGAAAATGAAACGAAACAGTAATTGACGTTTTTCATTTTTAAGGGAAAAATGTGTTATGACCAAAATGCTATTGCTTTATTTGGGAAAATTATTAAATTTTTCATTTCTGTGGTCAACAGACAAAAATCGTCATTTTGGACTTGACTTACAATTTTTTAGAAGTTTGTTATCTATAGTGGCACAAATGGAAGAGTTGAATCAATTTTTCGTCTGCAAAGATTTTTTCCTACAAATACAAACAAATACAAAACTTTCCCTACAAGTAAAATTTGTAGGGAAAGCATCAATTTCTTGTAGTGTATTTTGCTTTCATCTTTTAATGATAATATTAGTTTGCATTATTTGAGCAACTGCATACATATTTAGGCATATTTTGATCATTTTCACTCCCCATAAAGATAGAAGAACGAAGAACTTTCAAATTCAAAATTATATGCACACGTGATATGAGTGTTCACTTAATTGATGACACATGGTCATTTGGTGTCCTAAGTAATATTTATACTATTTGTTAATCACTCTTTTGAAGGTTAGGGATGTTAGGATCTTATAATCATGATACATGAAATGTTAGAATATTTTGCCATAATTTTCTCTATAATAAAGGTATCTATATGCTCCATTTAATGTGACCAACTTGTTAATAGATCAATAAAACAAAGAAATTATAAAATATTCATATAATAATGATAACATGAAGTAATTCTACAACAAATAATAAATTTAAAATTGTTAGATCGGGTCTGGGATAAAACACACTACTTCAACTTTTTAAATTACCAAGTTTACGTTCCAAATTTCCAATTAGTTCAACCTTACATGCAGAATTACACTAACCAAAGCAAACATGTCACTGTTAATTAATTTCTAGATGATTAAGCATACAATTCAATTAACCCTATCTTTGAATATCGTAGTTTGCAATAAATTGTTGGAAAGTAAAGAACGCAAATTTTGATAGCAGAGAAACCCAATGTAGGAAAAATTTCGGGACCAAGCCAGTTACCCCATTATAGACAGTTCAGGAAATACATAGCAATTCCAACTCTTGTACCCACTAAGACCTGCTATCATAGTCTCACGATCTACTGCTATAATACATCTAGCCTGCTAGACCTCCTAATCTGCCTCATGTAGCCTCCTGTTACCGTAGATACCTCTAGCCTCCTACTAGACTTCCCGATCTACCTCATACAGCTCAATCTGCTGTCTTTTACAGCCTCTTGGTTTTATGCTAAATGTCTCTCCAAGTGAAACACTAAGAACCTCTTGTTCTTGTACTTATAACTGTGCTTCAATCCATCTCTCTCAATCCCCTAATGAGAGTTTCTTCCTCCAAAGATTAAGGAAGCACATTGTTTTGGATTATTGCACCTTGATGTTTTTTCCAAAAGTTGGTTACCAAATCACAAGATGAGTGTGTATGATTCCACCGCTGAATTTGTTCTTGGCTATCAAAAGAATGTTGTAAAGATGTTATCAATGAAAGAACAAAGTAGCAACCTCTCTAGAATTTCGTTCATGGCTCTGATATTTATAGTTAGGGGTAAATAGGTATCATGAGCCGTGTAAAACTCTTCAAATCGCGACCTAGGTTTTGACCATGTGACACTGTCGCTCGAGTGACGCTCTAGTGAGAAGCGAACGACAGTTTCTTCGCTCGAGCGATGCAGGGACGACAAGCGGGCAACGATGGTTCTGCTTCATTCGCTCAAGCAACAACTTGATCAGCAGTTAGCGAAAATCTGGCGAGTCTTCTACCTTGTTTCAAACTCAACTCTAGCCTAAACCGTCTATACAAATTGCAACCCAAGGCCCTGACTGTTACAACATGTTCAATTTAGTCCATTTTGTTCACAGAATCCCTAATTACAACATAAAACCTAACAAGAATAATGTTATTGTATATAATGGAGTTACATGATAGTTTACATCTACACGAAGTGTTAATGAAAAGAGTGTGAAATTTTTTTATTTGATTAAAAAAACTCTAACACAATCATATCTTATGTATCATGTGTTCGTAAACAACTATGTAAATTATTATGTACATATTTTATAGAATCTACCACTTTTCAACCATATATTTCATCAATTTTTATGAAAATTTACTAAAAAATTTTGATTTTAATTCTCACCAAACATACTTTAGTATCCCACCAAAAGGATAACTCATTTTTTTTTTATGGACCCTTAGAAAATATAGAGAAGAGAATCATCCAATGGAAAATAAAAGTTTAGCACACATTTATCTCTCTTTAAAATATAATTCTTTAATTTTCACACTCATTTTCAAACACAAATTTATATAATAAAAAAAATTCTTACTTTTTAAATACATTTTCTTTAAAAAAATTACTACTCAAAATATCATTATTTTTCCCCTCAATCAAACAGGGTCTTACTTAAACACAAAGATATACATGCTGCTCACTCAGAAACTCTCTCAGTCTCTCCCCGAAAATTCAACAAAAAAAAAAAAAAAATCCCATCAGGCGTCACTTATCAGCAACCATTTTCTGAGAATAATTTAATGATCATCATCGGAAGCAATATTTAAAAAACAAATAAAAAAATAAAAAACCAAAAATTGTTTCTTAACACTGATACCCAATTGAAGCCTCTTTTCTTCAATCGGAATTGAACGAATTTTAGTAAAAGTCATGTCACATGAATTTTGAGGATTCTTGGGCCCCTATTACATGTAAATTTTTTTCTTAAATTTGTTGCTCGATCTCCCTTTTGTTGAAATGTTCTGGTTTTCCATAGTTTTGTATTTTAGATTATGAAGTATACTTGTTTTGTTACCATCTGATGGTCCATCTACATGTGGGATGTTAATATTTGATTTTGTGGGAAATAAATGTGTAATATTGTTTGATTGTAGCATGAGATTGTTTTTGGTAATTCTTTTTGATAATTTTTCCTGGAGATGTGAAGATGCTTGGCAGCTCTTAAAATCGAGAGAAGAGAAGAAGGTTAAGAAGCTGCTCTGCCTGTGGATGAATTTTTACCTTTTTCGGCGTGAGAATGCCTCCCCTTTCTGGGTTTATTTTGGGTGTGGAATATCCTTTGCGAATCGTTTGGTATTCTTATTGTAACAGTATGTTTACTTTCGGGTTTAAGAATATCCCATGAGTGTCATTTCTTTTTAAGATATAGCTGTTGAATACTACTGAGTGTTGGAGATTACTTAATATTGATGCTTTCAAATGGGCTGTGTTTGGCTTTGCAAACTTTGCAAGTTTTGTTACTATTTAAAGTTTTTTGTATTCCTTTTTCTCAGTCTCCCCATTGTATCATTTGATCTTGCACTACTATTTTATTTCAGTTCTTGCAATTATGTTGAGTGGTGTGGCAATTTGGCCACTGGATGTGTTTATGTCCAACCAAAAATAATCATGATAGTGATGATCGTTTTCACTTACTTGCATACAATAATGTTTAATTGTTGACATTCTTATCAAAAATGTGTTTTGATTTTTGTGATGTGTATGCTCGCAGGCTTGATGCTTAGAGTTGTGTGATCCGCTAATAATTTAAGGTACGGAGTTGTACCACCGATTCAGTTACTATATCTCTTGTTGAACTATAAGGTAATTCAAATATGTAATTAGTTTTTATGAAAAAACAATGTGATAATATATATTCATTATTATGATTTTCAGTGGATCAGAATCATTAGATCTTCACTTCTGTGATAATGTATATTCATTATTATAATTTTCAGTGGATTAGATCTTCACTTGTGCTTAATTATGGCACAGCAGAATTAAACGGTGCCCATGGACGCTACTGCTGGTGAAACTTCAAGTGTTCAATACTATAACATTCCTGAGCAAAAAATTGGTTCCTCTGATGCACCAAAGGTTCCAAGGCAACAGCGTCGTTGTTTTGGAAATGAAAGCCCCGGGGAGTTCCCGTTGTCTTCCAATCCTTCCATCGCCCTTCATGTTCTTACGGGATGTAATTTGGATCCTCAAGATCTTGCAAAACTAGAGGCAAGTGTATTTTAGCTTGCCATTTTTTAAAATTCGGCTCTTAAATAACAATTGAAACAATGCTGCTGTTGGTTGAACCATAATGGCCTGTTGTAGGTAACATGTTCATTCTTCAGGCAGCCTGTGCACTTTGCTCCTGATTATATGCTCTCGTTATCAGAGCTTGCAGCTCTTGATATGTGTCAGAAGAGAGCAGTATTTAAGCCAATGACAGACGAACAACGGCTAGAGTTGAAGGGAAGATGTGGGGGTTCCTGGAAGCTAGTCTTAAGGTTCTTGCTGGCTGGAGAAGCATGTTCCAGGATCGAGAAGTCGCAGGCAATAGCTGGTCCTGGTCATAGTATTGTAGTGACTTCAAAAGGTGCCGTATACTCATTTGGGTTGAATAGCTCAGGACAGCTTGGGCATGGAACAACAGATGAAGAATCACAACCTCGGCTCATTAGGTGTTGATTTCTATTACTATAGAAGCCTGAAAATGGGCTGGTGGTTTATTAGAGAAATAATTTATGGAACTTTTTATGCTGCAGATCTCTGCAAGGGATTCAAATTATTCAAGCAGCCGCTGGGGCTAATAGGACAATGCTGATAAGTGATACTGGCCGGGTTTATTACTTTGGAAAAGACTCCTTTGGCGAAGCTGAGTACGGGTTTCAAGGAAATAAATTAGTAACTACACCTCAACTGGTTGAATCATTAAAAGACATCTTTGTCGTTCAAGCTGCTATTGGAAATTTCTTCACTGCTGTATTATCAAGAGAAGGCATGGTTTACACATTTTCTTGGGGAATTGACAATAAACTTGGCCATCAAACAGAACCAAGTGATCTCGAGCCCCGTCCATTGTTAGGCGCACTTGAAAATACACCAGTGGTTCAAATTGCTGCTGGATACTGCTACCTCCTTGCTTTGGCATGTCAACCCACTGGCATGTGAGCTCACTGTCTTCTCTTTTATTGATATTGAAACATCATTTTTAGTACACGCAGAATGTTTCTTAAGAACTCTTTATATGCAAATGCTAATTGAAAAGTTCCTCGTCATTTTAATTTATGCTCAACTATGCTAGTTTATTCTTGTGACTTCGAATGTATCTTTGGCATATCATTTATGTATGGAGGATTAATTTTGTTGAAAATTACCCTGAATTGTTTGTGACATGCCAGGTCTGTATATTCTGTTGGTTGTGGATTGGGTGGAAAGCTAGGGCATGGCACAAGAACGGATGAGAAGCAGCCGAGATTAATAGAACAATTTCAAAATTTGAATCTTCAACCAATAGAGGTTGCTGCTGGTGCGTGGCATGCTGCAGTGGTTGGAAGTGATGGACGAGTTTGTACATGGGGTTGGGGACTGTATGGGTGCTTGGGCCATGGAAATGAAGATTGTGAATCAGTTCCAAAGGTGGTCGAAGCGCTTAGCAATATTAAAGCTGTACATGTTGCTACAGGGGATTATACGACCTTTGTTATTTCAGATGATGGCGACGTTTACTCGTTCGGGTGTGGAGAATCATCTAGTCTTGGACTTAATAATGTGGCTGCTGCCGATCAGGTTTGCCTCCTTGTTTTCTTGTTCTGTATCTGAATAAGAATAATACTTGACATAATGAAGTTACATAATGATTTACATACAGATGAGATGTCAAAAAGAGAGTGGTGGAATTTTTTTTATTTTTATTTTTGGTTGCAGAAATTCTGCCCAATCATATCTCACAATATCATATGTCCGTAAGCCATTATGTAACCGTCTGAATAAAATATTCTACCCCATTTTGGGATATTATTATTATTAGTTCTTGCAAGTATGTTCTGCTGTCACTTTCCTCATATTTATAGTTGCTTTCTAATAGCTATTAAAGGTTCTGGTTTGAGTCTTGCCACCAACCATTTAAATGAAATTGTGCACTTGTTAGAAAATATAAATCCTGCCTGGTTGCCTACACATGAGGGCTATGTTGGAGATAATATTTAATATGATATACATATGGCCCTATCTAATAGCTTAAGCTTTTAGATTAAATTGAGATTTTCTTGTGAAGTTTCCTTTGCAGCAAAGCACAGGCATGTTTGGCTTGTTAGATCTGTGGAACCTAATTATACAATACACTTTCTCCTAAGTTAGATTTTTCATAATTGTATGGCGGGATAAAATTTGTAATAATTGTATAATTTGTCAGGAAAATGGGCAAGTGAATGTCTTGAGCCCTGAGCTTGTGACATCATTAAAGCAGATGAAAGAAAGGGTTGTACAGATAAGCCTCACGAATTCCATATTCTGGAATGCACATACTTTTGCGCTCACAGAATCTGGTAAGTTATATGCATTTGGTGCCGGTGACCAAGGACAGCTAGGTGTTGAGCTTGAAGACAACCAAACCGAAAGAGCAAACCCCGAACAGGTCGAGATTGATCTCAGTTAACGTCTAGATAATATCTAATGCGTTT